AATGGACTGAACGTGTGACCTTAAATCCCCATTTCAAGCCCCTTCACAAAGTTTGACTGAGTTTTCAAGCTGCTGTTCAGGAAAAAATGCAAATACAGCTTTAGGGGCCCAGCACAACTGAGCTCTGTGTTCATCAGTCCTTTAATGTATGCCAAATGGTCTTTTTGGTTCAAAATCATTTCATGCAATGCTAAGCAATGCCCTCATTGTTGCTTTTGCTGACTTGCAGTAAACCAGTGGGATGCCAGGCTGCCACCATCAGAACATCTGCTTTACTGGAAAAGTATTTCAGCAGCCCTCACCTTGTAATAAATGATGTGACCCCGGAAGGCAGACAGCAGCACTCCTGCAGGCAAATAGCTCACAAAAAATCAAAAACGCCTGAAGCTTCGGGAGCAGCAGCATCATTTCTGTCACCCCGCCCTACCCAGGGTCTTAGAGCTGTAATAAGGGAAAAAATACATCACTGAAGCTCTGAAGATAGATCCCAGTTGATGAACTGGGAGTCTTCTACCAGCGAACACGAGAAGAGAGGGAAGGAGAGGAAAGCAGAGGAGAGTGGAATCCAGCTGTGAAGCTTTTTACTCTGCCACTGAAAACAGAGCTACTCCTGGGAGCGCTGCTTAGTTTGCCTCAGTCAGAATGCACCGGGGCAGCAAAATGTGACATATAAACTATTTCAGTTATGAAACAGGTAACAGAGTGCTCATACAAACAGCTTCGCTAGCACACAGATACCTGTCCATCTTAATTTACAGCCTTTTCCAGAACAGTCCCTCACCCTCTGACTTTTTTTAAAGAAGTTACTCATTTTCTTTTGTCTTTTCGACTCTGCATTTCTCCTAAGACATAAAACCCCACTGCTTTCGTGATCTTTTTGTTCCATTCACAATGCAATGTCAACACACCCCCAATGAAGTAAAACAGTGAAAAGTACAGTGTAAACATTTCAATTTTACTAACAATGTAAACAGCATCAAAAAGATTTTGGATCCTGTTTATCTACCTGTGAAGTTAGTAGTCAGTGGATGCGTTGTTGCTACAGTTAAGAGAAAGGTCTTGCTCTCGTTGTTATTGCTATTGCCTTTTGAAGTGAAATGACAGTGGCGCTCTTTTGAATGGTAGCATTTTACAGCAATTTAACTTCCTGCCTAAAGAAGCAAATTTGCATGAAAATTATCTGGAAAGCACAATCACATACGTACACAGTTTATATACATGCTGACATTTTCAGTACAGGCATGACATATAGCGTATCAAAGGCCATAGGGATGAAAAGTAAATTGGTTGGCAAGATTATTTTCTACAGTAATTTCCTAGAAACGGAACCATTTCCTAGAAAAGCCTACCATTACCCTCCAACCTCTTCTACGATGAACAGTGCAGCTGATTTCTACTTTCATTCTTATTCACCTTCCATGAAAGCATCACTGAGGACCTAATGAAGAATGCTGGGTAATTCTGGCGTTATTGGATTTTTTGTTATTTATTTATTAGACATGGGAGCTGTTATCAGCAAGCAGCCAGGTGAGTCAAATCAGATAAAGCATTATCTGATTCCTGTGCTGTAAATCAGATTTTAATAGAGAAAAGATCTGTATCCCTTTGGGAGTGGAAAGAATATGTTTATAATGTGTTCTGAATGTGTGCTGCACAATAGCAAGTATGGATAAAAAATATTTTCTCTAATCAATTTTCCACTTTCTTCTCCAAGTTCTTTCACCCACAAGATGAGAACTAAAATAAATGAAAGTTCTGTTTGTGCCAAGTGCTAGCTAATAACTAAAGATAAGCACGCATAAAAGCATGCATACGTGTTGCATCTTCACACAGACACACAAAAAATACTGAATTCTGCAATATTATAAATATAATCGAGGCATCATTGTCTCTCTGCTGGCAGAATGGTTTACAGATTTCAGGTTTATCTAATTCAGCCATTGAAATGAGACCTTTGGTAGCCTACTCCCAACCCCAATTCAACTTCTGTCTTAGGTATTTATCCTTGCCTTTTTCTATTCAGAGGCTATGAAGTCTCTTGACAGGGCCTGTAGATTATACACAGATAACATTTGACTACCCCTTGAAAGTTTTACAAATTTTAAGCAGCAGGGTAATCTAGATATGCTCAGACAGACATCATATAGATAACATTAAAAACCTTAATGCAAAGCCAGCTCTTTCTTGGAATGCAGTGTTATTTGAATTTTGAGTTGCTGGAAATTATTGTTTGCAAAAATGAGGGCTCCCCTCTCACCTAACACATCATTTTTGACTGTTCAGAGAGAACTAAAATTCTGGAATTAGTTTAGAGTCGGACACTTAAAACAAATATTTTGAGGACTCAAAAATTACTTTTTGAAAACAAACTTGTTAGGTCGTATTCAATTAATTCCATAGCAAACTGGAGAAAAAGGCCTTTCATGTCATGTTGGCTTAAAAATGCCATTTCTTTCATGATTTACACATGAAAATGAATTTGTAACCAAACCATTTTACGCATTGAGGTTTATGAAGGTGTGTGCTCAGAGTGTCATTAACAAATGAACAGGGAAAGCTCTGCCACTGCCAGCCATCAGCAGCAATGTTGACATCCATGTCACACTTCAGTATCTTCTCATTCCCTTTTCTTCCCAGGTGAGCCTTTGCTTCTCCATCACAATTTACAGGAGGACTAACATTTTTAAAAGTAACTGCAAAACTACAGGCAGCACAATGAACACTAATATCAAACTTAGGTTATCTGAATGTAAGGCTTATTTATTACGGAAAAAATCCAACCAAGTCACAACTAACCACGTGCTGTATTTGAGATACTGGTTTCCCTTTTGGGGGATACAACTACACTTTAATTTGTTGTACCAGTATCTGAACAATAACCTGATTCAAAATCTGTATTTGGATGAGTAAAGGTTAGCTTTAGTCACTTGGGCACAAGAGCAGTTTCAGGTTGTAATGACCTCGGTGTCTCAGACAGATTAAACGTCCTCAAGGAAGACCAGATCATTTTTGTTTTTATATATCTGTGATGATAATGCAGAGAAATAAATGAAGAAACTATGACCTGTGAGAAACATGAATACCGAGACTGAAAGCGTAGCTTGTAATGGGGTGCAGTGTACACATCACTAAGTAAAAAACTGTAAAGGTCTGAGGTTTCCTCTTGGAAACAGACAGCAACAAGGACTGGGAGAAGCAGAGATGGTGGTGTCATGTTAACATGAAACAAGTAGGAAACAGTCACTTAAATACTTTTTTGTCTCCCAGGAAAAGAAAAAAAAAGACTGAAGTAAGTGTAATGAAAATCCCTGTAGGTCCGTATCTAGCTATGCCTCTAAGTAACCTGAAGAAGTTTATAACAGCGCAACTAGAATGATAACCATGAAAGAAACTGATATCTCAACCCAATCCTAGATACAAACTTACTACTTGTTACTGTTGCACTTCCCACTGCATTCTCCTCCAGCCGGCACAACTAGACTAGTAACCCCTTTCTCCTTAGCTTCAGCAGATCAGGCAATCATAATTTAGTAGTAACAAAGCCATGTCATTTGTGGGAACAGACAGACCACCTTTAAAATTACCATCTTTCTAATAAGCACCTTGTAAATCTGATTAAATTTATGTCATTAAACTAAAAAAAAATTCTGATGTATCTGAAAAATAACTTCTTTTTTAAACTAATAATCAAAACCACAAGAAAGGACTGCAACCTTACAGCATCTACCATGTTTTGATCCACACAGTAGCCTTTTGCAAAGTGACACAGGCTTCAGAGATGCTCCCTTCATTAACGTGAGGCTGGTTTGAGCTTCTTTCACCTCACTCCGGAGGGCAGAACATTTATGGAGAAATGAGTAGTCCCTCAGTGCAACAGGCCACAGAATTCATTGCACAACAGGAGATGAGCAGATGAAGATTCAGTACCTTACTTGTCAAGTGTACTTATCAGGACAAATTAAAATATTTGACTCTTTCAAATTAAGAGAACGTCCCTTATACAACACATTCAGCTCTTACAATCCAGTTTAAAAGGATGCAAACATCACTAGCCAGGCAGCTCTTCACCTGGCAAGTCTCTCACGTCTTGAAATTAATGCCATATTTATACCTTTTAGCATTAGTGAGCTACTAATGCCTACCACCTCCTTAACTGCACATGCTCAAACCCTCAGTGGAACAAGACACTCCCTACATTAGCACATGTGCTGCTGGCTACGTGGGTCATCCCCAGATTAATTATTAGCTAACGAGGACACTGCACTGCCCTTTTCTACATGGGATGGCTCTAAAGTCTGGACATGTAAATCAGACTGCAAGACCAGAGCCTCTCAATTATTGCTTTGCTTCCCTTAAGTTTTAATGAATCTTTACCTAAAATATCCCATTATTTTCCTGACTAAATACATCATGAATGACTCAGTGTGGGATGAGGAGGCAGAAGGATGAAGACTGTTTCAATTTTTTTTGGTCAAGAAACTTCCTTTCTCTACAGATAAATGTCCCTGTTTTAGATCAAATGCACCTTTTCCCACTTTAAAATAAGAAAAAGATCTATTCATTCAGAGTTGACAAACAGACAATATACGCGAAGCAGTTCAGGGGAAGTGAGGTAGCTTTAATAATCTGTATCACATTATTATTTGTCCGTTGTAACTTTATGGCTTATAACCAGGAGTTTAGGCGCTCGCAGCTTCCCCTCCCTGGAGGGCAATGTATCAAGATGGTAATGTATCATGACCTCAACAAATGTTCTATTTAAACAGCACAATGACTCCCAAATGGAAAACACGTTTCTGCCTGCGATATCTCACGTTTAAATATATTTCTCTTTTTTTTTTTTTTTTTTTAAACTTCATTTCTAGAAAAAAATGGCCTGGCAGGGATTCAACGCCGTGTTCCACCTTGAAACACGTAAGGCCCTTCAGCACCGGTGAGACTGGTGTAAATGCGCGGTTAGGATAACATCAAACCCACCCTCCCGGAGGCGTCTGACTTACTGAGGTTCCACTTGAGGCCAGTCGTGGTCACGCTCTCGCAGGAGTTCCCGATGGGGATGAGGCCACACCAGTCGCCTTCCAGTCCCGTGTCCACACACAGCTTGTGCTTGCCCTGCAAGAGAGAAGGGCCTCTGGAGTCAGTGCTCGCCAGGGACCCAAACGGCATTTGCCAACAGACCTTGCAAATAAAACGGAAAGTACTTAGATGGAGACAGGTCCAGAATGTCCCCCAAAGGCTCAGGAATATTTGGCTGCAGGAATTCAGGTTGTTGATGTTTACTGAGGGAGAAGAGACATGTGCTTAGGTTCCAGACCTCAGGGCTTTCAAAAAGTTTGTTTCTGGGCTTTTCTAAGCAGAAATCTGGCTTTGCTCATTCTTCCCCAGCAGTTTCTGAAGAGGCACTTCTGTCAAAGCTAGGTTCTTTATTCCTGTGAAACGAAGGTGTCCTGACCCATTCATCAATTTTTTTTCCTCATCTAAACAGCTGTGTTTCGCTTCCCAAACAATGCTAGTCAAAGCACCACTGAAGCTCCTTCATTATTTTGACAACATCTGTAAAATTTCATGTACTTCTCCAGGCAGGTACTCTTCCCAGAAGGAAGAATACATGCAGAAACTTAACTAGGTGCTAGAGAAATTAACCTAAATATTTAGAGTAACATGCTTACACTAAGTAAGAACAACAAAGTGAAATTAAAACACATTTTTTGAACATCTAAGATAAATTAATCTTGTAACTATCAAGTTCATGGGATGCAGGAGAAGCAGCAGCTATTAATGATGATGGATTTGTTACCAAGCTCCTAATTAGTACTTATAGACCCTGTGTGAACATCTTGCCAGGTATCAGCATATGAACAGTTGCAAGGAAGAGTAGATAGTGGAAATCTTTTACAGAATGAAAAAAAAAAATCTGAATGTTAGAGTTCTGGCAAATTTGTGTTCTAAGAAACTAAGAAAGTGTTTATGAAAACTATCTACAATAAAACAGCAAATGCAAATCAGTGACAAGATCAGTAGAGAATAATCCTCTGGTCTCTTCTACACAGGTAATTTATTCTTTCCAACAAACACGGGCTTCATCTGGAGAAGGTTAGGATTCTTTGAAATAGAGGTTTCTTTGGGGTTTTATTTTATTCTCTTGTGAATGCACAGGCAAGTTAAACTCTTGACCATGTCTTTTACACACAAATTCTTCATCACTATAAATAAAATCAGTTATGCCTATTTATCAATCTACCAAAATAAAAGGACCCTCTGAAACCCAATGAGTATTCAGCAAGTACTTTGTTAAGCAAGAAACCAAGGTTTTATACCAGAAGAAAAAAGAACAGTTGAACCATAAAACTCAGGTAAATGTCCCAAGCAGCAAAAATACCTTCTCACAAATTTCCTTTTGGGGAATATATTGAAGCTTTTTTCTTATGTCCTGTCCTCCCATATGCTCATTCCAAATACCCTTGCAAATATAAAGTCACTAGTTAGAAAGTGAAGACTGGAGGCAAAGTATCTTATTGCTGAGATGTTGATGTCTGAGGCATTCGACAGCTTCTCCTGTTAATGCCAAATGCATTATGAAGAAACAACTTCAATACATGTCATGCTCTTAGTTAACAAATGAACCTTGGAAAAGCTGTCAATTGGGGAGTATCAGATTGCATAGCTTAAGCCTGTTTGATTGTTTGCAGAGCAACAAGAAAACCAATCCAATATCATTTATCTTCTCAGGGTGTCCAGCTTCATGTGGTGATGAGCCGTGTATTTCTATAGTGGTTGTGAACGCTTGCCTGCCAAATTCAGAGGTGTAACAAATTCAGGCTTGATAACCTTTTAGCTATGCAATATGCCATGCTACTTCTCTCTCGCAGTACAGAGGGAGGAGGAAAGGGAGAGGAGAGGTACAAGTACAAGCTCTCTTGTTATGTTATCACAGATATTGTCTATAATGAAGTTTATGATGAACGAGAGAACGAAGGGGTGGGACTGTTCCCAATGAACGTACGTATCGCTGCTCAGAGCTACTCAAGGAGAGTAATTTATCAATTAGTTAAGGAATATGAAAAAGAGAGATAAAAGTAACTGGCCTGACAGAGAACCTGATTAAGTCCTGTATTCTCAAAAACTGTCTACTTACTTGCAGTTCCTATTTTATGACATTCTGGCCCAGCTTACAGACAGGGCTTCAATTCAATAAGGCATTTATGCAGAAATCTGTCTTTCTGTTCTCGTGAAATAAATCTTTAAAACAAAAGATGTCATTACCAGAGGCTTGCCAATATCCAGGATTTTATCAAGAGTCTTTCACTGTCTGATACTTCCCTAAAAATCTCAGTTCACACATCCCAGTGATTATGTGAGAATCTTGACTTTCTTCCCTAAAAGGACAGTTGTTAAGAGAAATTTCAAACTAGGAGCCCAAAGGGCTAAACCCAAGACAGCAAGTAAACAGGAATTGAAATATTAAAATGCAAATTATTTTTCAAAAAACCTCTCAACTGTTAAGCCAAACCCATGCCTTAGAGATTGGCTCACTGATATTACACAAGACAGTTTTTAAGACTTTTCTTTAAATAGATCAGTAAGGAATCTTAATATTATTGGGGACAGTGGGGACAGAAAAGGGAAGTGGTCATTGGGGGAGGGGGAACAAAAAAAAAAACCCAAACGACCTGCTCGTTTTTGCCAAAAAAGATTGATCAGCCAATGCATTTGTACAGTAAGGCTCTAAAGTCAAAGCACTGTGAGTCTGCCACAGGGGAAATTAGGTGCCCAAGCTTATATTCAAATTTTTGAGTACAGATCTTTCAACCAAGCAAGATGGAACTGCTATTTGCAGGAGGAAGGGAGGATCCGAGCTTGTAATTTGCAAATACAAGTAATAATTTGTTCTATTTAAATCTCTGTGATTAAAGGAACAATTATATACTAGGACTTAAAATATGAAACTGGTTTCAGTTTCTGTAGAACTCAAAGTTCCAAAAAGAGAAGCAAAGTTTGACTAAATAATTCCCTCCTTCCTAAGTTTTTTTTGCCTATGTAGGAGGTAACTGAAGTGTTTTCACATTTAACTTAAGAATCAAATATTACCATCTTTGAATGATACTGGTGATAAAATAATGGCAAAGAATACAGCTGCATTGATTTTTATCTTATTAAGTCAGTTTTGAAAAACATTGATCAATCTTCAGCATTGATTTTTTTTTCTTCATTTTTGTCTCTGATGCTGAGAAATAAGATCAATTTCTAAGTTCAGCAATAAGAAGAAAATGTCAGAAGATATTTTTAAGAATGCTTCATTCATACAGGTTAAACTTTTCCTTTTGATTCTGATGTTTTGTGTTATAAGAAAGCATTTATGCAGTAGTGGTTAAATATACCCCCACTCCAACATTGTTGTTGCCAAGGAAAGACCTAAAGACATAGTTGTTCTGTGTCACATCTCCTAACTCAAATGAATAGAAATCTGATTGCCAGGAACTCATTACCTAGCCCTATCCAAGGTTGTAAGGCGCTAAAATCTTTAGTGAAAAATTTGCAAGCTGAAAAGCATATGAATGGTATCAAGATAAAAGCTGATAGCTTCTATGCGTGCATAGATACCCCATGGGCACTTCATAAAAGTACAGGGAAAACTACTTCTCCAAGTGCTTTCCAGACCAACTTGAATAATGTATTGCAATAAATGTATACTCTAAAATAGATATCAAGCAAAAAAATGTTACGAAAGAGAGAGAGAATGGGGACTGATCTTCAGTACTGCATTCTGAAGGGACCTGAAGGAGGGAAACCTGGAACCTGGCAGGTTGAAACTGGACACAGGGGAGAGGCATGAAGCCAGCTAACAAGATGCCGGGAAAGAATAAGGAATTAAAATTAAGCTTTAAAAAACAAACGAAGAAAGATATAATAAACAGATCTTGGAAACTGCTGAAGGACTAGGACATGTGAAAGGTAATGGGGAAGGAAAAGGATCAATTTACAGGATTAGAGGACAAAGCAATCTTATTTTAATTTTCAGGCTGCCCTGAGAGTTTATCCAGTATAAATAAATCTACTGAATAACTTAACTCCTAGAAATAGCTGATTTTCTAAACAGCATACTTTCACCTGTGCCTGCTGTGAGATCTGGGACTCCAGAGAAATGAGATTTCTTGAGATCTGGCCAACTGCCCTATGATACCTCCTCCACTAGCTAGATCTTGTTTTCCATAATCTTTTGATAAAACATCTTTTTATATCAGCTTTATTTCAATGGTTACTCCATAGATGGCAGCACACACTTGAAAACAACAACAGCAGCAAAAAACCAAATACAGATGTAATAGTGTTACCCAGGGAAAAGGCAAAAACCACAATCTGTTTTAGTACATAAACATCTGGGTGTAGAAAATGGTATACAGATAAAAGACTCGGGGAATGGGTGGAAATCAACACGATCACCAAAGACTGCAGCAGAGAGGAGAAGGAAAGGAACAATGATGAAACCAAGCTGAAAACATTTATATTTAAAATTAAATATCATGATTGGCAATAAAGGAAAAACAAAGTTCCAGAAATATTTCTACTAATCATTAGTTGTGTAAGAGCTTGACTTAACAATAATAAAAGCTTTTAGGCTGAGATTCTGAGCATGCTAAATACAGCCAATTTTTCTAAAAGGATGTATTAAAGAAGAGCTGTTTTGTTATAACCCTAAAATATCATCAATTGTCTTTTCAAACAAATACACATAGTGCCAAGTTGCTATTACATGAATGCTATTCACAGAACGTTATCTGAGCTAACCAGGCTTTTTGTTGCTGTTGAAAATAAAAGTATCCACAGTTCCAGTGAAAACTCAGAAGTCTAAAAGCTCTTGTATATCATATCAATGACTGCTTAAACTCATATGGAAAAAACAGCAAATTTATTGTACTTCAAAACAATATTAAAAAATGTTGGACCCAATCCTGCCGATCCTTACTATCAGATGTTAGTAGTGCTCCTGTACTGAAATGGATAGACTTCAGTATGTCAGTTATTTGCAAGACAGAGCCCCACCAAGCCTACCCTTCAAGAGGAGCACTTCATAAAATGATGACTCTATAGTGAATAAAATCCCAGGCAGTAGA